GTGGACAAAGTCAGAAGTCTCAACTCCAGTTTTAGCCCAACAGGTTTATTTGAAATCCCAAGCTTTCGGAGCGTTCCTCCTTTGTCAGGTACTTCACCTAATGAAGGAGCAGCGCTCTGAAAGCTTATATTCTCAAATAAACCTGTTGGACTAAAACTGGTGTTGTGACTTCTGACTTTGTCCACCCTAGACCAACACCGGCACCTCCCCAGCATATACAATTGTCAGCATGGCAATTATCTTAATTTGTCAGCCAATATTTCATTTTAGCATCTGTTTCTATAGGTGTGAAACCCATATCTGATACTTGGTCTTTGAATGCAGTAGTAAGGATGAAAAGCCTGGTGATGAATAAGATTCTGAAGTCCAGAACCATACAGAAGGAGGAGAACATCCTCTTTGTGGAACTTAAAGATGAAACTGAGAATTCAATTATCAATATCAATGAAAAGTTAATTTCTGAAGGATTGGCTATTAAAATAGTGGAAGAACAAATCATTTCTAGCTTGGAAAGCAGCAAAACTGCAGCATGTATGGGAAGTAAGTCATGTTTTGATGTGTGTGGAATTTGTTCTTGGCTTTTATCTTTTCTGGTAAATCTTGTTAGGCGCACGGCTCGCGTTTAGAAATTTGTCGTCTTTGCGTGTTTGAGACAGTGCTGTTTGTTGCAAGTGTGAAACAGTCTATTCAAATTTTGCTCTTATAGAAGATTACTTTTTACTACTTGTTTTGATATTCGAAGTAGTCAGAAATCTGCAGTTACTAATTGATCTACCAACATGTCAATGTACAGAAATTCAACAACGATGTGCACAATTTTGCTTTTAGCAGTATTGTGAAAAAGATAATTCTTATCAGGCAGACTTTGCTAAGGGTAAATATATCAAGTTTAATCAGCCGCTTAATGAGAATGAGGCCTCAGTGAGTTTTGTGTTTCTATCACTTTTATAGTCTTGGCCTTTCTTAATTGAAAAATATGAGGTTAGCAGAAAGGTTTCTACACAATCTGTTTTACTCCAGCCTTTTATGTTCTTACATTCAATGTGTATCCATCCTTTAGTCAGTGAGAATATCCTGCAGTCAGGATATGTAGTTGCAAATCAAATCTTGTGAATCCAGTCACAAGTCGGTAAAGTAGGTTATGATATGTTGGTATGGAATCAGTCCGAGAGCACTATTTCAAGCCCTTAGGTATTTGTTCTTGTATGTAGGGATGGTAGTATTCTTGGGTCTAAGTTAGAAACATTAGAGAGAATTGAGTCCAATGTAGATTGACACTCCAGTCCTGAGGGAATGCCTCAATGTTGGAGGTACCATCTTTCAGATGAGGTGTTGAACAAAGTCCCTTTGCAATCTCCGGTGAACATAAAAGATTCTCAGACACTATTCAAAGAAAAGTAGGAGAGTTCTGTCAGATGTCCTAGCCAATGTTTATCCTTTAAGTAATATCACAGAAGCAGATTTCTGTTTGTGGAAATTTTATATATACAAATAGGCTGTCACATTTCCAATGTTACAACAGTGACTCCATTTCATAGTGCTTCATTATCTTCAAAGCACTTTCAAATGTCCTGAGGCTTGGGAAGTTGCTATAAAAATCTTATGTTTATGTAAGACATTTCAAACAAAAGATAATTTTGGAGTAGAATACAAAGAAATAATTCAGCTCACGGTGACAATTTTAAAATTGCTTTTCTTCTCAGTCATTTTTTAGTTCACTTGTAGCATGAAAGAATTTATATTTTACAAACGTTGAATTTGGCATGAAAATATTTAGTTATGTGCTAATGATTTATTTTGGCTCATCTGCAGTGTTTTTAATGTTTTTATTTTCTTTTGTTTCCAAAGAAAATGTAAATGCAAAGCTGTGGAAGACTGTGGAGCTGCCTTTGAACAGTGTGGTGCCTATTAAGGTGAAAGAAATGATAAACCCTGGCATCTTCTATGTTCACATTATTGGGACTCCAGGTAATAATGCATACTATAACCGAGACATTTAATATTTTCATGTTATGCTGCACGTTTATTAAATGAGAGATTCTATTAGAATGGAGCATTTCAGTTTTGAAGCTTCACCCGTGAACTGTAGCAAAAAGGAGTTCGGAGCATATCACAAGGACTGTATTTTTTTAATTTGTGTTTTTGTTTTTTAACAAAAAAATGGGCTGAAATGAGAACAAGCTGTTTTAAAACCATGGATTGTAAGTGTGGCTGTATGTTTTGACAGCAAGTAACTTGACATCCATTACCAAGCATCCTGTAAGCAATTGTTTGAATGAGCAGTGATTTGAAGTTTGAGGTGCAAATAATTTGATGCTGATAGGGTGTACAGATGCAGCTTTTGTTGGCAGGAAGTTGATTGGCGTATGGTCAAGTGACGAGTTTTTGATGACAGATCTTTCACCTGCCAACAAGTGTGAGATTGGTTCTTGGATACTCCATAGTTTGGAGCTGGAAACAAGTTACAGAACGTGAGAGACAGGCCTTCAGTTCTTCCCCCAACTCAGAAGGGGTTTCTCTGTCTCTAAACCTGAAGGATAACAGTCGTAAGCTGTGACTTTAAACTGATAAGTCAGAGACTTTCCATGAGTGAACTGGTCACCTTGTCTCTCTCAGCAAACGGTGGAAGCTTCCTAAGAAAGATGACTGAAGCAATGTTTTTGCCAGCAGAAGTGTCATAGGATCTTCTCAACAACAGAAGCTGGGAGCAAAGATTATTGAATTGTCTTTCCTGATTTCTCCCCACTGTCCATAGCCTATTGTATGCAGTTTGTTTTTGTCTCTACGCAAGGACTGTTTATAAAGGAATTGGAGTTTCAGGTTAGTAGTACATGCTGATGGTTTATAACTGTTCAGCTGGAGTCTAATTTCTTATAATAAATAGTGATTCTTATTCAGTACAAAAATCTGGTCTGTACTATCTATCACTATAGGTTTGAAAGTGAGGTAAATTGGGGAACTTGGAGTTCTTGATTTAAAAACTTGAACTTTTGTGATGTCTCCTGGAATAGCAGGGCTCAGTTTACAGAGCACTAGTACAGTCTACAATGAGTTGTAACAATATTGCTGAATCTCTTGCATCACTACTTTGTGAAGTTAAATTAAACAGATTTCTTGGAATTAGTCAGATTGTATACAAATGGATCATCTAAGGTATTGTTTCTAACAAATCAGTTTTTTGAATAATAGGATCGTAGATTTCAGTATGAATTTGGGAACAAAATCAGAAATTGCTGGAAAAATTCAGGTCTCGCAGCATCTGTGGAGAGAAAGTAGAATTAACTTTTGGGTCAGGTGACCCTTCTTTATTTGTTTAGTATGAATTTGGTTTGGGGATAACCATTGCCACCCCCTACTAGTTACGTTTATTGCGAGTGGCAAAAACATCATACTCTCAGCATTTGGGATTCAAGTGAATAAACTTGGTTTATTCATGCTTTATTACTTCAGATCTAGCACCACGTGGTCTGCTCTTGAAAATATAATATTAACTGTACATATTGTTCCTAAAAGACTCTGTAGTTGATCTTTTGTTGAGTATCTGGTAGAATTCACACTGAGCTAGATATCTCTTCATACTCTTAGATGTCTAATGTCTTGAATATAGGAAACCATACCAAAGTGTTTCACAGAAGTGTAATCAGACAGAAGTTGACATCAAGCCAAAGGAGGAGATCTCTAGAATGTGCTATCTTAGAGATAGATTTAGGAAAACTCTTAAACCTCTCCCTTCTCTCATCTTTAAGGATGAAAATACACACAGGATTTGCACAAATGAAGGCCGTGCTGTCAATCATTAGGTGAGGGGAATGAGCACAGAGGAGGTAAGGAGGTTGTAGGTATGGAGAGGAAAAACCATGGAAGGATTCACAAATTTTAAATTGGTTTTAGAAAGATACGAAATGGTCTTTAACATCCTCTGTTCTCACTGTACAAGCCCCTGAACACCATCTCACCAGGGAAACAGCAATTTTCATGTCCTTTTACCTTTGCTGTTCATAATGTGGTCTTCCTGGGAGACCAAGCATAGATTGGGTGACCATGTTCTGACATGTCTCAGTTAAATTTGCAAGCATGACCTTGAGTTCCTGTTGCTTGTCATTTCAGCTCTTCACCTGGCTCCCATTCTTGTATTAAGTCCTTGTCCTGCCGTGGTGTTTCAGTGCAGTTCGATGCAAGATCAAGGCACCTGCATTGATGGTTCCATGCACCTTTTATGGAGATAAGACTTAGACTTTACGATCTAGACGTTTTTCTTATCTTTTGGCTTTCTTTCATTTCTCTGCTTTTTTTAAAAAAAATTCTGGCTTTGTAATCAAGGTGATTTTGGAGAATAGTGACTTTGTACACTCTTCTTTATACTGTACTCATGTATTTCTATGGTTGAGTACACATGACGATGAAAGTCTAATTCCAATTCTTTCAGCTCAACACTCTAGTTTCTGGATTCTACATTTAGTTCAGAGTTTTAAATTAAACCTCCATCCTATTCTTTTCACTTTTTGCTAGTTCGGTCTTATTCAATTTCTTCCTCCTATCTCTTTATGTTGCAGTTAGATAGTTGCTTTCTATTCTTTTGTATCTCACTTAAACACCGTGCCTGTTACCACTCTTCAGAAACCTTTTTTGTCATTTAAACAACCCTGCTCTCCATCCTATCACAAACTTTCTCTTTTATCCACATCCTCCTCCTGTTGGCTGAAAACCGATTGCATCTTTTCTCAGTTCTGATGAAAAGTAATTGGCATGAAATTTTAAATATGTTTCTCTCCATAAATGCTGCCTGAATGCTGAAAGATTTCTAGCATTTGTAGCATTTTGTTTTCAGTTTTATTGATCCCAGTTGCTGCTCCTGGTGTGTTGTCCTGCATTCCTCATGCAGCCAGGGTTGCTCAGCAGACCTAATGGTAATCCTAGAGTGAGGGATATGCCAAGCTATGCGTTTACAGATGGTGGTTGAATGTAATCTCATGGATGCCCAGTTTTGAGCTGCTAGACCTTTTCTAAATGTATTCCATTCAACATAGCTATCTTCAGTGGAGGAATGCAACAGCCCCACACCCACCTCCAAAAAAGAGGCTTACAATACTGTCATGGACTGGTACATCTGTTAAAGGTGGGGGTCTTTTCCCTCATTACTTGCTCCGAGCCCAGTCTGGCAGATATGCCCTTCTGAGCTTCGTCTGCCATTGTAGTGCTGTCAGTGACACTTGATACAAATGTGTTTAGAAGTCCCGATAATGCAATGGCTTGAGACTGTGGGTTTCTTTTGTTACTGCAAATAGTATGATATGACACATGCTGTAATAGAGTATCTATGTCTCATTAAAAGGCTAGCCTTCTGCTTGGTTGGAATAAATAATTTCCATTGTAAAATTAATCAAGCTCCTACTGTGCCCATGTCCCATTTGCAGAAATTGTCTCCTTTTTGCTCATGTTAGCATGATAGTATCTCTTTATATGCCTAATGCCACCTCTAGGTCTGAGAAATTCTGCATTAAGCTTATATTCAACGTAAAAACCAAAAGTCTGTTCTGAGGAAGGGTCACCGGACCTGAAACGTTAACTCTGTTTTCTCCTCCACAGATGCTGCCAGACATGCTGAGCTTTTCCAGCAACTTTGTTTTTGTTCCTGTTATATTCAACATAGTTTGTTTTAACCTTTAAAATGCTTCAGTCAGGTTCCACTCCTACTGCAGACTCCCAGCCTGAATGCCCTTTTAAATATCTATACAGTTGTCTAATTTCTGTACAGAGCCATGGTTAGTAATTGTGTTACCAAGCTACTCTTAGTGATTAACATTGAAGGCCTCCACCCATTCTGTACCCTGGCTACCCTCCGTGCAGTTTGCAAGTGTTACTCAAAGTGGAGGGGTTCAGATGAGGAATGCTCACCTTTGTTCACCCTTGCACTCCCTGATCACTGCAGTTATTGAGTTTTCATCTGTACCACTCCAAATTTGAATGTGTTATCATGTTCCAGTGTATATGAATTAACCTATATAGCATTTATTAACAGGAATGTCTCTAAGATTAAAAAGCCCCCTTCCCACACCAAAAAGCCTATAAGCTGTCTGTTTTCTTTATTTGTAATTCCAACCCCTAATACTAAGATTGCTACTTGTACTACTTTTCTGCATTCACATTCTGCATTTCAAAATCCACCTAATTTCTCAGAAACCAGATTTTGTCACTGTACATATGGCATCGTCTGATCAGAAAGATGCTGTTTGAATACAGCTTGATTTGGGTTGTGCCATTTCTATAATAATGTATCAACTTAGCTCAATATAGGAAACATTGTAATGCAGTTGAGTTCTCATTGTGCAACATAAATGGTCTTGGGGAAGCTTTTCTATGCGAATACTCTTTTGTAACATCAGTAGACAAGATCTAAATATGAAATGTTCTTTAAAGCTAGAATAAGGATTATTTAATAGGCTGCCAAATTAGATTATTTTAGACAGTTATGACACAGCAAAATTAACACTTTTCCTGTGTAATATAAGTAATGCCGGTTTTATTTTGAGGTAAAACATGGGATATAGCAGAGAATCTGAAGTGTACATAGTAACTGATTCAGTTTGTATAGGTTGCAAGTATTGAATACTATATTTGTGTTTGAATTTTAAAACAAACAGTTTCATGAACTTGGAGTGTAAACTTCCAAATACAGTTATGTGACGAAGTGTCACATTGCATGTGTTGTTTGTTTATAGTTCAAGGTTTTCCACTGAATTTGTAAACATTACAGCAAGTGTTTTCCTGAAATGGGAAACAGTTGTAAGTCAAAGTTCTTTTGCACTAAATTCAATACACAGGAACAAAATCAGAAAATTGTAACCACGTATTTGATATTTTAAGAACACTATTGAACTGCTTTTGATCTCTACTTGCTCCAGTAATGCACTACTGTCCTGCAAAAAGAGTAATCTTACAATGTTCGTTGCATTGGTCACTAACTCAAGTACAGCCCTTTACGTAAAAGTAGTTGTCTTTCTTTCTCTCCGTTGTACGGAATGGAAGCCAAAACTGCATCCTCAGCCGGGTCTTAAAATTCTTTGGATTCACCATTGCGTCTAAAATATTTGACATCAAATATTTAGTGTAGGCTATTGGGAGCACTAAGTGCTGGTCTTTGCTTTCTACCCATCTCCATTTATGAACGCACTCATCTTCTGAGCTCTGCATGCATTTGTATGATTAACGTTCATTAAATATCACTTTCTTTTTCAAGCGTTTTAGTTGTAAACTTTAAATTCTGTCATTTGCATTTTCTTACAGGGGCATTTAAACAAGTATTTTCCCCTTTCTGCAGATTTGAAGAAGCTATACCTGTTGAATGCAGAGTTGGCTGAACACTGTGGAGCTCAACCAGGCAATTCTATATTCGGTCCTGAGGTTGGTGATGCTTGTTGTGCAAGACTTGCAGGTAATTTAAACAGATTTATTGAATTAAAATGATCACAAAGCGTCTGTTTTCAAGATGTTTATTTCTATGATGTATGTAGGTTATTCTCCATTTTTTGTCTTTAATCTTTACGTACGTTTACTGAATCGGTGTACAAGCATTGCACATCGATGTAGAAATCAAAAGTCATAATTATAGCATTATTGATAAAAATGATAGCAACTTCTGGCATCTACATGTGAACAGTTAAATGCAAATATCTAGGAGTTGCTGTCAATAATAGCCTGTATCTCCGAAGTGTGCACTGTTGTAGTCTTTGTAGGTGGAATCATTTAGAAATCATGGATTAGTAGTACATCTGAACCATTTCCACACTACCACAGCTGTAAGAAACAAAGATGAAACTAACACCAGATCAAAATACTGCAGATGCTGGAAATCTGAAATAAGATCGAAAATTGCTAGAAATACTCAGCAGATCAGGTAGTCTCATTGGAAGAAAATAGTTCATGATACCAGCCTATGATCTTTCATTATAATGATTAAGTTAAACTTTCAGCCAGGAGTAATTGAGCTTTAATGGTGAACTAATCCATAATTACTGTTCAAAATCCCTTTTTGTTCTGGAAAAATAGGGACCCTTAATACCTCAAATGTTTAACAATAGATTTAATATTTTTGAAGATTTGTTCTGATATTTGTGATTCTCCTTCATCCTGCGTATGTATGAACTTTCCACAGCATGATTTAAATGCTATTCTGTATTCTTGAGTTTCTTTGCATTTAGCTGAGCAGTATGTCTGTTACTGGATGCCACAGATGCCTTGTAAATGATGCCTGTTTGAAATCGATGTTGAGAAAAGGAGATCTATGCTCTCGAACCCATAAAAATCAAAACAAAAGAGATATTCAGAAGGTCTGGCAGTATCTGTAGGCAGGTTAACATTTTGAATCCAATAATTCCTCTTCAAAGCTGTCATTTGATCCATTCAACTCAAAGTGCTAACTGTCTCTCCACAGATGGTGCCAGAACTGCTGGTTTTCTTGAGCATTTTGTTATTTTTATTTCAGATCTCCAGAATCTGCAGTATTCTGTGTTTTAATTTGTGAAGGACCTTTTTTGAGGTCTTTGAGCATTTTTGCTTCACTGCTAACCCCAAAATCCAGGCCACTATTTATCAATTGGTCAGCCAACAACCTATTCCTTTAGCTACTTGTCATTTGCACAACTGTTGTAACTATATTGTACAACTCCAATGAGACACATGATGAGGAGAGATTTTCCAGGTGTTATGATTGTTGGCAGCTCAACAGCTGTAGAAGAGAGTAGTCGTAGTGAGAATTAATTGGTATGTCTGGTTAAAACTGTGATTCTATATCAAAATAGTATTGGTGGAAAGAACCTGAACTTGTCATTCCATCACAGCATATAGCACTTCTTAAAATAATTAGTTTTGTTTTGGTGCATTCATTTCTAGATAATTCTTTGTGTGAAAAGCTTCCTCCTTGTTATTTGTAAATTCATCTTCTGAGTTTTAAATCTGTACTCCCTTATACTGCAACCATGATTTTTTTCCTGAATTTTTTAACAATAAATGTATTATATTTTATATAGCACCAAATTTCAAAGCAAGAAAAGGCATAGCTTTAACATTACACTCTAGTGTCGATGCAGGTTATCTGATCCACCTGATATCTGCCAGCGTTTAGGCTTGTCATAATGTTTTCCATGCCCCATATAACCTCAATTTGTTCATTCCTGACTTATACACCAAACCTCCACCTTGAATCTATTCCATACTATATGCTTCACCAAGTCCACATCATAATGAGTTCCACATTCTCATGGCATATGGAAAAGGTTCTTTCAGTTTCAACAATCTGATGATGGGAATTCAATTTCATACCTGTACTTTCTCCTAGCTGTGATGTTGAAGTTTACTTTTCCTAGAATGATGGTAGGAATGTTTAATTTGACTGCAATGCCTCTTGACTGATTATTATCCAGCCTAATCAAGATTCACACTCTAGGTTATTTGCCACAACTTTCTGGAAATGTATGTATTGGATAAGAATAGGATTCTGTGGTCAAACAGCAAAGCTGTCACACACACATTAGCACTTTGGCAAGATAGTGACACTCACTGGAGGAAGTTGGGAGTGGATGGATTTGAAGTTTCATTCATAAACCACTTTTGTGAAGTGTGTGCTGGTTTAAATTTTTTGAGTGTGACAGTCATGATGATACCCATACCTGCCAGTCAGCTATATTGTGTTTTCTTGTGTTTTGCTCATCCATTCTCACTTTCTACAGGACAATCTCACAGAAGGCCATTCAATTAAAGTGGATTTTCATCAAATCCCTACAGTGTGGAAACAGGCCATTTGGCCCATCGAGTTCATACTGATCCTCTGAAGAGCATCCCACACAGATGAACCCCCCCCCCCCCCGACGTGTGTGCGCGCGCACACACACACACACACACACACACACACACACACACACACACACACACACACACACACACACACACATATACACATAACACAATCACTGTTACTCTGCATTTCCCATGGCTAACGAACTTAGCCTGTGCATTCCTGGACACTACAGGGCACTTTGGCATGGCCTGTCCACCTAAACTGCACATCTTTGGTCTGTTGGAGGAAGCGGAGGAAACCCACACAGATACGGAGAGAATGTGCAAATTGCACACACGGTCGCTTGAAGGTGGAATTGAACCCAGATCCCTGGTGCTTTGTGGCAGCAGTGCTAACCGCTGGGCTGCCCTTTTTAATAGAGTTATCTAACTATTCTGCTCTCTTTCCATAACCGTGCAAATATTCATCCTTCAAGTACTTATCTAAGTCCCTCTTGAAAATTTTTACCTTTTTGTGCCTCACAATGCTGCCCGGCCTGAGTGTCTCCAGCACTTCTTGTTTTTTAATTTCAGATCTTCAGCATCTGCAGTATTTTGATTTTATTTTATCCTCTTGCAAGTTACTATTCAATCTGCTTACACCACCTGAAAGTGTAGTGGGTGTCAAGAGTAGTGTGGATCTTGCGGCTGCTCCTAAATTGCAGGCTTTTCTTGTAAATTTTATATAACAGAAACAGAAAATTTTCATTTTGAATCATTTTTTTGGAACTTCTAAAGTCCAAAAACATGCTAAAAAACCTTAGAAAAGTTGATTGGAGTAGACCCTTCGCAGATAAAGGGAGAACTGACAAGTGGGAGGCTTTCAAAAGTGTTATAGTGAGAGTTCAGAGGCATTATGTTACTATTAGAGTGAAAAGCTAGGCTGGTAGGAGTAGGGAACAATGGATGAGTAAGGATATTGAGGTTCATATCAAGAATAAGAAAGAATTATATATTAGATATAGATAACTGGGATCAAATGACTCTCTTGAGCAATATAAAGAATGTAGGGTGTTCTTAAGAGGGAGATCTGGAGGGCAAAGAGGAGTTATGAGACAGCCTTGGAAATAAGCTTAAGGATAATCCAAAGAGATCCTACAAGTACATTAAGAGCAAAAGAGCAACTAGAGAGAATAGGGCCCCTTCTGAGGAAGGGTCACTGGGCCCTAAACATTAACTCTCATTTCTCTCCACAGATGCTGCCTGACCTCCTGAGCTTTTCCAGAAATTTCATTCATTTCACAGAATCCCTACAGTGTGGAAACAGGCCCTTCAGCCCAACAAGTCAATACAAACTCTAGGAGCATCCCACCCTGACCCATTCCACTATAACCCACCTTAGCTACACCTCCCTGAACACTACGGGCAATTTAGCATGGCAATCCACCTGGTCTGCACATTTTTGGACTGTGGGAGGAAACCAGGGCACCCGGAGGAAACCCACGCCAATACGGGGAGAATGTGCAAACTCTACACAGACAGTTGCCTGAGGGTGGAATTTCTGTTTTTGTTGCTGGCAGAGAGAGAATAGGGCCCCATAAAGATCAACAAGGCCATCTAGGTATTGAATCTCAGGAGATGGAGAGATATTAAATGAATATTTTGCATCCGTTTTTACTGTGGAGAAAGAAATGGAGGCGAGAGAATTTAGGGAAATAAACATTGATGTACAGAAGAGGAAGTCCGAGATTTTAGAAAACATAAAGGTGGATAAATCTCTGGGACCTGATCAAGTGAATTCCAGGATGTTGTGGGAAGTTAGGGAAGAAATTACGGGGGCCCCAGTAGAAATATTTGTTTCATCTGTAACCACAGGTGAAGGGCCGGTGGACTGGAGGGTGGTTAATGTTGGGCCTCTATTTAGGAAAGGCTGTAAGGAGAAGCCTGGGAGCTATAGACCTGCAAGCCTGACATCAGTGGTGGGTAGGTTGTGGAGGTGATTCTGAAGGATAGGATTTACATTCATTTGGAGAGGCAAGAACTGATTAGGAATAGTCAGCATGGTTTTGTGTGAGGGAAACAGTGTCTTACAATCTTGATTTGAGTTTTTTGAGGAAATAACCAAAAGGATTGAGGGCAGAGCAGTAGATTTTGTTTACATACTTAAGTAAAGCCTTTGACAAAATTCCGCAGAGAAGACTAATTAGTGAAGTTAGATTACGTGTGATTCAGGGTGAGCTTGGAAATTGGATACAAAGTTGGCTTGACGATAGGAGACAGAGGGTGGTGGTGGAGGGTTTTTTTTTTGGGAGCAAAGGCCTGTGACCAATGGTATTCCACCAGGATTGGTTCTGGGTCTATGTTTATTTGTCAGTTATATAGATGATTTGCATGAGAATATAGGAGGCATGGTTCGTAAGTTTGCAGATGACACCAAAATTGGTAGTATAATGGACAGCGAAGAAGGTTATCTAAGAATACAAAGGGATCTAGATCAGTTGGGGCAATGGGCTTAGGAGTGGCAGGTGGAGTTTAATGTGCATACATGTGAAGTTTTGCATTTTCGTAAAACAAACAAAGGGCAGGACTTATACAATTAACGGTAGGCCCTGGGTAGTGTTGTAGAACAGAGAGACTTGGGGCTTCAGGCACAGAATTATGATGGAAGCATTCCCGAATTTAATGTGCAATAACTACATATGGTAACAGGTGTGATAAGCATGTCTGCAAAATTGAAGGTTCCAATTGATGTGACTAGAAAGATTAAAACCCATTTGTCAGAATTCTTGTTGAAGTGTTAAAACATCATACCTGTTTTGTGTTCTATTGAGGGAATCTGTTCTTTGTGGTAGTATCACTGCCTCTGAACCAGAAGCCCCGGGTTCAAGTTCCACCTGCTGCAGAGTTGTGTAACAACATTTCTGAATATGTTGATAGGAAAATATCTGATCTTTCTTGCTAATTGTGAAAAGAAGGTTTTTCTGAAGATACTAAAGCTTAGGATTTTGAAACCAACAAAAACTATTATAAATCTCATTAGTAAAATAGTTTTTTGGGAGCAGAAACAATGCTCATTTCATTTTTCCCCAATCCAAAACAGTTTCCAGGACACTTAGAGCTGATGAAAATATCTTGCATGCTCTTTGTCTTTATCATAAAATAATTGGTCAGAGCATATGTTAGTTGTTCACGTTGTAGGTCATCCTGTTCAAGTTCAGAATCAATTGCTTTCATTAGCTTTGTACAGTCTGTGAATTTTACTGTTGTAATATTCGTTTCTTTGCTCCAGCTGATTTATGGAGATATTAGAAGTTCTGAACAAGCTCATGCAGGGATTTTGCTTGCAATATCCCCAAGTCTTCTAAGTCATGAATCTTTGTACTTGGGTTCTGTTGTTCAACATGCATCCAGTGGAAAATATTTCCACTGATTCCAATTTGATTTCTGTTCCTGCTGCGCCTGGAATGTATTGCTTATTTCTGAATGGTGTACGTCAAGAATTTTCAGAATAGGTGGCTCATGGTAATTTGATAGAGAGAGCTCCACTAATGATCTCACTCAGCATCAGAAGTATCCAGGTTATAGCCAGAGTGAAATGCAGCTCACCGTCTTGGCAATCTTTCCAAATTGAAATATTGACACTTGGGTTCTTTCGTTATTAATGCATTTTGGATGATTTAAAGGTCTACTTTAACAATTATTATTCCTTTTGAAAATTACAAAAAAAATTTTCATAGTGTTGCTTTATTTGTCTCCTCTTAAAATTTCATGTGCCAGATAATGAATACCTGCTCTGTGTTCAAGAATCCTGAAACATGTACATTCTTATTTTAGGTGATAACCACTGGCATCGTACAGTTGTACTTAATTATTCTGACTCTTCAGTAAAAGTAATTTGTGCAGATTATGGAACTGTAGAGACTGTACCACTTGAAAGTGTTAAGTGCATTAAACCAGAACTTTTGGATCCTCCATTTCAAGTTGCAAAGTTTGCACTTGCAGGTATATTTTCTATATTACATTACCAAAGAATTTATTTTTGCTATGTTTGATAACTACATGAACAATCAATTCTTTTGTTCTAGAGGAGTGATTATTTTGTCATTTCATATCAAGAGTACTGCATACCTCAGTGTACATCCCAAAGATGAATTCTATGCATTCTGCAAGCAATTAAATGAGGAAGTAAAATTTAGTGTTGTCCAATTGCTGACTACCCTCTCAATATATAGTCATCCTATTTCAACTAGATGAATTCATTTTATAGAAAACATCTTACCTGTACTTTTACAGTAAAAGTAAATTGCACATTCTACTGTTTGTTAGTAATTTGCAGCAAAACACTCGAACCGCTATGCAAATGAATATGGACTTCGTGCAGTCAGGAACAGTTTGTTCATTGGCCTAAGCGGGTCAGTTAACTCATTTGGCTGGTCAGCTAGTTTGTAATGTATAGTAATACCAAGAGTGCAGGTTCAATTATTGCACCATCCAAGGTCTCATCTTCTCAATGTCACCCCTCACATGAGGCGTGGTAACCCTCGGATTAAACCACCACCCGTCATCTCTCTGCAATGAAAGAGTAACCATACAGTGACTTCACTTACTGGTCTGAAAGGCAATTGGCCAAGTGTGGTTAGTTGCCAACACTGGTTTAACCAGTAGATTTTCAGGATGGATTTTCTGTCTCTGTCCCTGTCACGTTGGCTCAAGAATTTTGTCTAATTTTTTTTCTCTGATTTTCTAGTTCATTTCTGTTGGTGTGCACTAATAACTATTGTCTCCAGTGATGTCTTTGTTTTCATTTTGAGCAAGTATTGAATTTTGCAAGCTAAGACAATTGTCTTCTAATACACGTAACAAAAAAATTATAATTGCAAGAACATTTAAGGCACCCCATTTTTGATGATGACTCTTTTTACACTCATTACTGTAGAAACATTATAGTAGATACTTAAATATGGCTTATCTTCAAATCTTCTGTGTCTCTTCAATTTGTATGTTGTTGCAACTCATGAACATAAAGGAAAACACTTTTGGTGTTAATGCTAACTAGGGTAAATGCATTAGCATTTTCATCTGCTATGTGATTGAATGTCAGCGTTAAGAATCATATGATCATTGTCACGTGATTAAATGTCATGTTAAATAATCAAATTTCCAGGAGTACACCAAGCTGGAATTTTCAGTTTTATCATAGACCAGTAGGCCAAAGCTCCTAAAAGTTGTTGGAAAAACTAGGATTGAAGCCAGTCAGAGTGGTGCTGTTCTGTTCAAAGTTGGTCAGATGATGTACTGGATTCTATAAATTCATAACTTTAATTAATCCTATTCAGAACTTTGTGCTTCAGCTTGTGTGTGAAGGAGTGAGGAGGGACATTGGACCAGTTGGGATGTTGGGCAGAATGTTCCATGTTTTGTGTCCCTTCTGCTTCTCAAGCTACCCATTCAATTTCCCTTTCTAAACTGATGTAAGTTTCACAGTGCCATCTTGCTCTTTAGCGCTGTTTAAACTTGATGTTGCAACCTCTGGCTAAAAGACTATGATAAGCAAGTGTAATGTTCAAACAAGGCATTTTTTTTCTTCAATAGAATAATGTTAGTTAGCTGTTGAATGCAGAATGAGTTTTCTTTTTCAGGTCGCTTATTTTTAAAATTCATTCACTGGATGTAGGCGGTGCTGGCTAGACCAGCATTTTATTGCCCATCCTTAATTGCCTAGAGGGCAGTTGAGTCAGCCACATGGCTTTGGGTCTGGTATCACATGTAGGCCTAACCAGGTAACGGTGACAGTTTCTTTCCCTAAAGGACATTAGAGAACCAGATGGGTTTTTCTGACAATCTGTAACGGTTTCATGGTCATCATTAGACTCTTTAATTTTGGATTTTTTTTTTAAATTGAATTCAGATTCCACCATCTGCCATGGTGGGTTTGAACACTGGTCCCCAGAACATTTCCTGGGTCCCTGGATTAATAATCTAGCAATAATACTACAAGGCCATTGCCTGCCTAAAATAACTCCAAGAAGGCATTTATCCTGTCACCAAGTCAGCCTTTACTTATGCGTACACAACGTAGGCTGTGACCAGCCAGCTCAGAGCCAGTCCCTAAAATGAAAAGACACTCTGAATCTCCTGTTTATACTTGTCAGCCAGGGCTCCCTGATTGGCCCAGGTTAACAACCCGATCGAGCATCTCATAGTTTGAGATCTACCTGGCCCTGTTTCAGTCACAACATCCCTTCTCCACTAAGTCCAGGGATGTAGACCTGTTCCTTTTCTTGTTGCTTCTTTTGGGTTGTTTTCATCCCCCCAGTTCCGGTTCCTCTGATTTGAACACGGGCGGCATGTACCAACCGTAGCCTGTCTCTTGGGCCCAGAACGTCTCGGGAGAGTTCCACATCTTCAGGTGGTAATGGTGACGAGGTTGCATCTATCTTGGGCTCTGAGGTTTCTTCACTAGATGGAGGGGGAGAGCCCACTGTTTCTCACCGCCTTTCCAGCTGTTCTGAGGGTCAAACATGTTTTTTTCCTGGCCCGTTTGTGAGGTAGCAGCTTTCAGGTGATCCAAATGTGTGTTCAGGATTGCCTCACCTACCCGAACTTTGTATGTCGCAGGACCTGACATCGCCTCGTATGCATGCAGGGCCATTTTCCATGGTTTCGAGACCACACCATCCAATGAAATAAACTGATTCCCTTGCTTCAGAGAGGGACGTGGCCAGCATTGGCGTTCCTGCTGCCTCCCACTAGACATTGTGAAAGCGTTCTCCATCGTCTGCTGGAAAAGGGCGCAGGCTGATGATAACCCAAACAGCAGTCTTGTATATTGGAAGAAACTGTTATAGGTATTAATTGTGGCATACTTCTGGGACTCCATAAGGCAAATGGCACTGGGTGGGCCTTGCAGAATGACTTGCTTCCTGGTCAACATGAAGGGTGGTCTTGGCTCCTTTGATAGTCCCTCAATCTTCATGAAAATCTTCTGGATGTTTATTTAGGGCTTCACTGAGGCAGTCATTTTCTAATCGAAAAATGTTGAGCCAATTTAGGTGAATCTTTCTTAACCAATTCAACCCCATTAAACTTGGACCTGAGCTTTCTATTATAATCAGAGGACTCACAGGAGACTGGAAGTGAGATCATACCTTTAATCTGTAATGGTTCCCTGGTACAGGTTTTCAGTCTGGCTGAGGTCTTGTACAAGCTTAACGGCTGGAGTCCAGAGTGATTCTTGTTAAAGACTGGTTCTCCAACCAGTGATACAGCTTTTCAGTATCAACCTCCATGAGAACTATTTTAACCAGACATTTGTTTTGATGGGTTCTTATTTGGATGTTGCTAAGCAATTTAACTGTTCCAAACCACATGTAGATGGACTTTCCAGAGTGTGCATTTCTGTGGATACCAGTCTGAGTTCTTTTACCCAAGTCTGGCCTCGTAGGTCTCCTTTGCTGTTTGGAGTCGGCATTCTGGCAGGAACTACAATGCCTGCTGGCCCGGATCCTGAAGAACACTAGCCACTTAGCCAAGGATTGGGTTTGTGAGCTGACCTCTGCTTAGGATATTCCCTGTGTGCGGCTCCCCGATTGCCTACACTCAAGTGGTGTTCCCTGAACTGAGTCGGACAAGTGAGGGTGTTCATTTCCATTGGGATGCCCTGTAGCTCTCGCTCCACTTGCCACATTTTCTAATAACAAAGCCAGTTATACTGTCTGTTTTCAGTCCAGTTAGGCTTTACATAGGAATGGTGCTTTTGCATGGTTTACATCATTAATCCATATACCATACAGTTTCTCAACATCTTATTCAGAGTAAACTAAATCACCTGCCTCTGCCAATGTTCTTAACCTTATCAAAAATCCAGATATGGATTCCCCTGGTTCTTGAACTGCCAAACAAAACTGATAGAGTCTCAGAATTAAGGGAGGCTTGGGGTCATAATATTCCTTAGCTAAATCCATCATCTGTTGAAAGGTTTGAGTATCTGGTGCCTCAGGGAAAGTTAGGCTCCTAATAATTGAAAATGCTCTAGGTCCTCAAGCAGTCTAAAGAATTATTTATTGCTTATCATCTGCCCAGTGTTATTTGCCTGGAAAAATAACAGATTCTTTCACATACTGGGCCCAGATTTTGATGGCAGGATCAAATGAATCAAGCTTCCCAAATAAAGGCATGATGCCAGAAATGCTTATCCCAACTCAAAGATGATCATTGCAAGCAAATTTTCTTCAGGAGTGCACTGTTTTCTCTTGTCGCCACTGAAATAACTCCAAGGGGACAGGTATCCCATCACCAAGTCGCCCTTTATTTACGTGTGCACAGGACATAGGCTGTGCCCAGCCAGCTCAGAGACAGTCTGAATCTCCTGTTTATACCTGTCAGCCAGGGCTCTCTGATTGGGATTGTTAACCTGGATCAATCAAGGATCTCATCGTCAATGAGGTCCACCTTGCCCTGGTTCCAATCACTACAATACCGTCATTTAAAATGACTGCAGAAAATAAAAAAAAATACTTTTTGATCTGAATTTTGTTGTTAATCTGATTACCTTCTGATTTTAAGAATCCCATTGCTATTTCTTAGGCATGTGCTATGCCCTTTTATAAGAAAACTGAGTAGCTGCATGAAGGCTTTCTTATATCAAGTATGTATTAAAAAGAAGTCTGAAAAACATCGTTGTTAGATAGGAGATTAGGTAGAATGTAGTCACTCTTTTTTTTCATCTGTTCTTGGGATGTAGGCAATGATAGTAAAGCCATATTTATTGCCCATCCTTGGTTTCCTTCTGAAACCAGTAGTGTGTTAGTATGGTCCTCGTGCTCGTGGTTTCCCACAGTGTTATATGGTAGGAAATTCCAGGATTTTACCCAGTGATGCTGAAAAGACAGCAATATGAAGTTAGAATATTCTGTAACAAATCTGTGAAGTTACATAGGTGTTACAGTGCAGGAGCAGGTCATTTCGCCTACTGTGTCTGCATCAGCTCGTTAAATTGGCACCAGGTAATGATGCACACATCCTGCTTTTCCTCATACCCTTGTATATTATCTTTTTCCAAATAATCATTGAATATCCTCTTGAATGCCTTCGTTGACCCTGCCTCCACCACTCTTGCAGCCAACTTTAGAACAGAACTTGAAAGGAAATGTCTATCTAAGACCATACTGTTCTTTTTCCACTTGATGGAGGCTATGGTGCTGTCAAGGCAATTTTTGTGAATTGCTGTTACCTGGTCTATGAGTAGTACACAGCAGAGCTGCAATATATCAGTGCTAAAGAGTGAATTCTAAGTTTAGCAGCAGTATTAGTAGAGTGGAGTAGATCCAAAGATAAGTCAACTCCTCATGTTTTCCCTCCTCTTCTCCATGCAGTGTAAATTATATTCCACAGAATGGTTGCAGTACAGGAGGCAGCTTTTTGGCATGCTGTGTATGTTTGTGCATACTGCAAGAGAAACTAACCAGTTCCATTCCTCTGCAGTTTTTCTTTCTTTTCAGATAATGATGGGGTTGTCTTTGGAAAGACAAAACTGAATTTGCCTACACCACGTTTTTATATCCTAATCATAATGCATTTTTTGCCAGTCACCTTAAATCTCTTAGTCTTGATCCTTCCACTGATGGGAACACTTTCTTCCTACCTACTCTGTTCAGGCCCCAAAATGATTTTCGATACCCTTTGAAATTTTCCTGTTCTAGGAGAAGAGTCCCATCTTCTCCAATCAATCCAGTAATTGGTTCCAAGGATACAAAACTTAATTCTCGAATATTTTCTGCCCCTTCTCCAATGCATTCACAACCTTGCTATATACGTGGTGCCTGGAACTAGATGCAATACTCCAGCTGAGGCCAAAGCAGTGTCTTATAGTGTTTTATCTTTGCTTTGCTTTTCTGTGTCATATTTCCACTTGCGATGTCCAGGATCCCCTATGTTTCAGTAACTACTCTTTCAAACTGTGCACGTAAACCTGAAGTTCCTCTGCTACATCCATGTGGAATTACATGCTCTTTATTTTATGTTGTGTTACCTGATTCTTCTTACAAAAATAAAGCACTTCATATTTTCCCATTAAATTTGGTCCCAATCATTTTCTTTCATGAACTTCACTACTCGTAAAGAAATTACTTGCTGTGGATTTGCAAATCCTACATGAAATTAACTAAATGTGAGATCATATTTTCATCGTGTCACGATGATTTTACATGTTTCATTAAATGTTTTTAATATATTTAGATGTTGAACTAAAACTTGATGCGTGGACTCCTGCGGCCAGCAACTTACTCAAAATCCTCCTATTTGATAAAAATGTTTTGGCAACAATAAGAGCGTTTGATGGAAATATCTACACTGTAGATTTGATCGGACATCTTCAAGGTGCTGCGATTAAAATATCTGATAAATTGGTGTTGGAAGGTCTGGCTAAATATCTGGATCAAGGTAAAAAAGGTAATTATTCACACTTAAGAGAACTGAATTAATTATTTTTTTGTGCATAAATTTCATGTTTGCAAATAATTGATTCACTTATAGTTTAAAGCAACCCCAATGTGCTATGGTTTGGAATAATTAATTAACAAGTTCATTCCCCTCTATTATGTTCAAAGCGAGCTCCTAAGCTCAGTAATAACGTCGAATTTGAGCTGCAGGAAAAAAATAAATTGCCATTCAACAAATAGGGAAGTGTGCATGTGAGTTATAGTAAGATACTGTCAGAATTGGGCTTATGTTGAGATTAGCATGATCCAATTTCTGCTTTTCCTTTCACATCTGAATAATTTCTTGCCCCAGATTTAAATTAAGTTGGATTCTATATATTTTATCTAACAGCAGCTACCTACATTTGTAATATTTTTGTTAACTTAAGTTTTACCTGTAATTCAAATCTTGTCTACTTTCTCTGCTCCTGTAGTAGTACAGCAATCTGGAATAATTTGTCAAAAGTGTATTCATTTTTGTGACTGCAATGCTTTCTCATAATTCTAAGTTCAGATTTTAGCGTAGCTCTCAACAAGAACAAAAACAGAAGTTGCTAGAAAAGCTCAGCAGGTCTGGCAGTACCTGTGAAGAAAAAAAAACAGAGTTAATGTTTTGGGTCCGGTGACCCTTCCTCAGAACTCATTTGACCCGAAACGCTAACTCTGATTTTATTTTCTTCACAGATGCTGCCAGACCTGCTGAGCTTTTCCAGCAACTTCTGCTTTTGTTCCTGATTTATAGCACCCGGGGTTCTTTCAGTTTTTATTTAGCATAGCTCTGAAGGATTTAAATTCTGGTTGACCCCATTATCTAATTACACCAGTTAGCCTTTATCTTAAAACAACCCTTTACTTTTTGCAGTGGTATGTTGCATTGCATAGAATATAAAACAATACAGCACAGTACAGGCCCATCAGCCCATGTGCCTATCCAAGAGTCACTTAAATGTCCCTAATGTATCTGACTCCACTACCACTGCTGGCAGCGCATTCCATGTACCCACCACTCTGTGTAAAGAACCTACCTCTGACGTCTCCCCCTATACCTTCCTGCAGTCACCTTAAAATTATGCCCAATCGTAATAGTCATTTCCAACTTGGGAAAAAGTCTCTGGCTATCCACTCTATCTATGCCTGTCATCAACTTGTACACCTCTGTCAAGTCACCTCTCATCCTTCTTTGCTCCAATGAGAAAAGCCCTAGATCTCTCAACCTTTCCTCATAAGACCTGCCCTCCAGTCCAGGCAGCATCCTGGTAAATCTCCCCTGCACCCTCTCTGAAGTTTCCACATCCTTCCTATAATGAGGCGACCAGAACTGAACACAATATCCCAAGAGTGGTCTAACCGGGGTTTTATAGAGCTGCAACATAACCTCGCAGCTCTTAAACTAAGTTCCCCTGCCAGTGAAAGCCAACGCACCGTACATACCTTAATGACCCTATCAATTTGGGTAGCACGTATGGTACATACTTTCTCACAAGAACTCTAGTTATCTTCCAAAACGTGTACTGAAATTATGATGCGGCTCCCACGTGTTTAAAGTTGGGGTGCAGAGTGTGGGAGCTAATTTGTGCACGCACAATGAGAGTAAGCGATCAAGACCAATAGTAAAATGGATAAAAGAAAAAAATCAGCATTAAACTCTATTCTTTTGTTATGTGATTTAAAATCCCAAATTTACTAGGAGAAATCTCTTCATCTGGATAATTTTCATCAATTTCTTGCAGCTCAAGATCACAAAAGCTGTTGTTGCAAGGATCTCCAGAAAGCTGTAAGTTTATATTCTATTCAAAAGCTTGTTAGGTATATCTACAAATACTTTATATCCCAACATTTCGGTTCTGTTCAAGCTATTTCAGGAGTAAATGTTCTCTATCATATAGAAATTTATATTTGGAACTCCTCTGTGCCAGATATCAACACTGTAGTTATGCACTAATACTCTGTATCAGTTATTGTGCACATATGAACATGATTCAAGCCCGCACCCATATTTCAAACATTATTTCAATTTTAAACAAGTCTAAGAAATTAGAAGTTGGGTTACAAACTAACTTTTATTTCTAGAAGTGGCACAAAATCTAGTAAAAGGACTCTGTTCAAAGGTGAAAAAGAAGTGTGGCCTTTGGTGACTTGCTGGTGGAAATTGGGATTGAAAGTAAGGATTGTGATATTTGTTCAGCTTAGAGTCGGAAACAGGACTGTATCAATGTGAGAATAAATCGAGAAACGATCTACAAATGACTGCAAACTGTTTCCACTTTAATTAAGGCACTCGACTTGATCAGGTGAAAATGATCACTGCTGGACCAAATGTAGTCCAGATGAAATATCTGATGTTTATCCAAGGTAAAATTGTGGATGGAGAGGGTTTTATCTTTACAACAGGGCATCATTTTGCTACAGATGTAAGTAAGGCACAGAAGCAGGCCATTTGGTGCCATTCAGCTGTGCTGGTGTTTATTCCTTTCTGTTTCCTCCCATCTTTCTTAACCTGTTGTAAACCTCTATACCTTTCTGCCCCATGTGCTTGTCTGGCTTCCCCTTAAATGTATTTATGCGATTCACATCACCCATTCCTTGTGTAGCAAGTTCCTCATTCTCACCGCTCTTTGGGTAAAGAAATTTCTTTTGAGTTCCCTATTGGGTTTCTTGCTGACTAGCTTGTTTTGCTGGCTTCCAAAAATCTCCCTTTCATAAAGTACATTCTGTATCTATTAACAGACCTTTTAATATTTTTAACTACTCCTATTAGATTACCCTGCAGTCTTCTTTTCCAAGAGAAGGAACTCACCCTATCAATTATTCCTGACATTTCTGATATCCATCTTGTAAATTTTCTTTGCATTCTCTCCAATGCCTCAATATCCTTTTTATATCATGGTGGTCATATCTACAAACAGTACTTTAAGCATGGCTAGCCAAGGTTTGATACAGATTTAGCATAATTTCCCTACTTTTCAATGCTATCCCTTTAGAAATATAGCTTGTTTTGTTTGCTTTTTTAAATATCATTGCTGAACTGGCACATGTTTCAGTGACTTGTATGTGCTGAGATTCCATTCTTCCTCTACCCTTCCTCAGCTTGCATTTTCTGAGTGAGAAATGATGCCCAATTTTCCTATCACGGTGTACACCTCACATTTATCTGTGACTCTTTTTTGCCCATTCTGCAAGTTTATTAGCATTATCCTGTAATTGGCTAGAATCCTCCTCAGTGTTGATTATTGTCCTTAAAATTTGATGTCAATTTGCAAATTTTGAAACATTTTTTGATTTCAAAATCCAAATTGTTAAAGTGAATTTGAGGTGAGATTGACTACCCTTGACATTAAGGCAGCATTTGGAAGTGTGGCATCAAGGATCCCCAGTAAGACTGAAGTCACTGGGGGAGAACCTTCCATTAGTTGGAGTCATCATCACAAAGGATGATGGTTGTGGCTGATGGAGGTCAGCCACCTCCGTCTCATAACATTGTTGCAGAAATTCTTCAAGGTACTGTCCTAGGTCCTGTCATCTGCTGTTGCTTTGTTATGATGTCAGAAATGGTTGTGTTCACTGATTCCACAGTATTCAGTACCATTTGCTGCATCGTAGGTGTTGAAGCAGTTCATGTCCATATGCAACAGGACCTAGATAACCCTCAGGTTTGGGTTAATAAGTGGCAAGTCACATTTTTGCCACAACAGATGAAAATTTAGCCATCTCCCCTTGACATTTGCAACCACTATTAACATCCTGTGCGTTACCATTGGCCAGAAATTGAACTGGACTATCTATACTGAGGTTAAGAGCAGGCCAGAGGCTGAAAATCCTGTAGTGAGTAGCATCACCACCTGAATCTCCAAAATTTGCCCACCATCGACAAGGCATAAGTCAGGAATGTGATGCAATGGCCTCCACTTGCCTGGCTGAGTGGAGCTCCAACAACACTCAAGAAGCTTGACACCATCCAGGACAAAGTAGCCTGCTTGATTTGGCTCCATGCCTACAAACATTCACTCCCTGAACCACCAATGCAAAGTAAGGTTTCTTTAAAACCATCTTCCACATTTGTGACTTCTACCACCTAGAAATAAAAAGGCAGCACATGTATGTGAGGACCGCCTGCAAATTACCTTTCAAGCTGTGGGCAAACTACTTATATTGCTATTCCTTCACTGTCATTAGGTCACAATCCTGAACCTCCGTTCCTAGTAGTGCTGAGAATTTATCTATATCACATGGACTGCAGCAGTAAAAGAAAATAGCTCAACATGACCTCTTCAAACTCAGCTAAGGTTGGGCAACAAATGTAGGCTTAGCCAGTGCTGTCCACATCTTGTGTAAATTGTGAATGACAGCAATTCCAACACACCACCTTGCATTGAAGTAGGTCCTCAGGCATTCTCCACCACTCCATAGGATCAAGGTTGATCTGATTACTCCACATTCCTGCCTCCCTTTCACTCCCTTACCTATCATGAATCTCTCTACCTCTGCCTTAAAAATATTCCAAAGACTCTACTTCCATCATCTTTTGAGAGAGCATTCCAAAGACATGTGACCCTACGTGAGAAAAGAAATTCTCTTTACCTTGGCCTTAAGTGGGTGACTCCATTTTTCCTGCCCTTTTCTAGATTCTCCCACACGAGGAAGCATCCTGTCTGCATCTACCCTGTTAAAACCCCTTAGGAACTTGGTGTTTAATCAAGTTGCCACTCTTTCAAACTCGAGAGATACAAGCCTAGCCTGTTAAGATTTACTTGGAAGAAAACCTGCACATCCAGATAGTAGTCTAGTAAATCTTTTCCATTATTTTCCCTTTAGTAAGGAATCGATTATCTTTCGAACTACCAATTTTCAGCTGATTGGTTTATAATTTCTTGGATATGTTCTGCTTCTTAAATTTGGAAGTCACAGTAAATATGCTTTAGTCACTCAGCATTACACCTTTCACAAGAATTTATTACATATCTACTCAAGTGCAGGGGTAAGATGGGGCTTGGAAGGTTGACTGCGGCATTGGTCATTGTGGTAAAGAAGGGATGATAAGTTTGCAGAGATAGTAGGAACTGCCGATGCTGGAGAATCTGGGATAACAAGGTATAGAGCTGGATGAACACAGCAGGCCAAGCAGCATCAGAGGAGCAAGAAAGCTGACGTTTCGGGTCCGGACCCTTCAGAAATGGGGAAGGGAAGGGGATTCTGAAATAAATAGAGAGAGAGGAGGAGGCAGATGGAAGATGGATAAAGGAGCAGATAGATGGAGAGGAGATGGACAGATCAAGGAGGCGGGGATGAAACCAGTAAAGGTGAGTGTAGGTGGGGAATTAGGGTGGGGGTTGGTCAGTCCAGGGAAGACGGACTGGTCAAGGAGATGGAGATGAGGCTAGTAGGTAGGAGGTGGGGATGGGGGTTGGGGGTTGGGGTTGAAGTGGGAGGAATGGATAGGTGGGAGAAAGGATGGACAGGTTAGGGAGGCAGGGACGAGCTGGGCTGGTTTTGGGATGCGGTGGGGTGTGGGGAGATTTTGAAGCTTGTTCAGTCCACATTGATACCATTGGGCTGCAGGTTTCCCAAGCGATATGAGGTGCTGTTCCGGCAACCTTCAGGTGGCATCGTTGTGGAGGAGGCCCAGGATGGACATGTCATCCAAGGAGTGGGAGGGGGAGTTGAAGTGGTTCGCGACTGGGAGGTGCAGTCATTTGTTGCGAACCGAGCGTAGGTGTTCCACAAAGCGGTCTCCAAGCCTCCGCTTGGTTTCCCCGATGTAGAGGAGGCCATATCGGGAACATTGGATACAGTATACCACGTTAGCAGATGTGCAGGTGAACATCTGTTTGATGTGGAAGGTTTTCTTGGGGCCTGGGATGGGGGTGAGGGGGAAGTGTAGGGGCAGGTGTAGCACTTCCTGCGGTTGCAGGGAAAAGTGCCCAGGGTGGTGGGGCTGGTGGGGAGTGTGGAGTGGTCCCTCCGGGGTGGGGAGGGAAAAATATCTTTGGTAGTGGGGTCAGATTGCAGGTGGCGGAAGTGCCGGAGGATGAGGTATTGGATCTGGAGGTTGGTGGGGTGGTACGTGAGGACGAGGGGTTTCTATTTTGGTTGTTATTGAGGGGTGGGGGTGTGAGGGATGAGTTGTGGGAAACGCGAGAGATGTGGTCGAAGGTGTTTTCGACCACTGTGGAGGGGAAGTTGCAGTCCTTGAAAAATGAGGACATCTGGGATGTCAGGAGAGGAATGCCTCATCTCGGGAGCAGATGCGGCGGAGATGAAGGAATTGGGAATAGGAGGTGGCATTTTTTGCTGGAAGGTGGGTGAGAGAAGGTGTATTCTAGGTGGCTGTGGGAGTTGGTAGGCTTGAAATGGATATCAGTTTCCAGGTGGTTGCCAGAGATGGAAACAGAGGGGTCCAGGAAGGAGAGAGACGTATCGGAGATGGTGCAGGTGAACTTAAGGTTGGGGTGGAAGGTGTTAGTGAAGTGGATGAACTGTTCGAGCTCCTCATGGGAGCATGAGGCAGCGCCGATATAGTCATTGATGTAACGGAGGAAGAGGTGCAGGATAGGGCCAGTATAGCTTCGGAAGAGGGATTGTTCCGCATATCCTGCAAAGAGGCAAGCATAGCTTGGGCCCATGTGGGTACCCATGGCCACTCCCTTTGTCTGTAGGAAGTGGGAGGAATTGAAGGAGAAATTGTTAAGGGTGAGGACGAGTTCAGCTACGTGGATAAGGGTGTCAGCGGAGGGTGACTGGTCGGGTCTGCGGGACATGAAGAAGCAGAGGGCCTTT